GAAGCAGAGCGCACGGAAACACTGTTTACCTTCCCGCCACAGCAGTACCTATTTATCTACTTGAACTGGCGTACTTTCGAACTGCTAGGTTGGCAGGAGCTGGGACCGAACAATGGGAGCTCACTCTGTACTGGCGGAGGAAGAGGAGCGCAGGAGGAGCGTACTGCCCCCGGCAGCCCAATCCTCGTGGGGTGCCATTACGGCTCTTCCCCCACCCACACTTGGTGCCACACCCCTGTGGGCGGTGTGCCATGCCCCCAGGACACATGCCAGCCCCGTCCCCACCAACGTTCCGTCCTCCCAGTGCCGGAGTATGAAGCTCCGCCACTGCCACTCCGTTGTGGGGATTCGAACCACCAACCTTTCGATCGGCAAGCCCAAGAGGCTCAGTGGTTTAGACCACAGCACCTCCCACATCCCTAAACACATTTTGTACACATTGTTTGGTTATAGAACTGCACTGCAAACTTCAGAGAAGGAGAGCTGCATTTCAGCCCACATTTTTTTTTTAAAAAAAGGGAATTACATAGGTCCACCTTTATATGCAAACTGAACTAAATTTCTCTTCCATTGCTAATTCCTCTCTAGAAGATACTAGAGGGGAAGAAGGAAGCAAGATGTCCTCAGTCTGATTTGGTTTCACATTAATGGCATCAAAGTGAGGGCAAAACAGGGACTGTGTGCATATGATTAAAAAAAAGAATTTGGGAGAGGAAACACAAAATGGTTTCCAGCCAGGAGAGAGAACAAATGCTGCTGGCAGTCAATGAGGTAAATGAGGTAAAAATCTGTCCTTGTTTGGATTCCCTTCCCAATTCTCTCCCTCTCCCATCTGTTACCTTTTCAAGGTATACTGAGTTATGGTGGACCTTGGACCTTGGTGGACCGTTGAAACCTCGGGTTGCGAAAGTGGCAAATTCGGAAGTCTTTTTTGCCACTTGTGCATGTGCAGAAGCACTCTATTGCGCCGCACGTGTGCGCAGAAGTGGCGCCTCTGGATATAGATTTTTCATGGTGTAAACGGACCCCCAGGATGAATTAAATCCGTATCCGGAGAGTCCATTCTATGGGCAATCTATCTGGAAGATAAATTGTATTTCAAGGAGTTAGTGATCTGACATAGTTACCCTTCCTGCCTCTGTTCCTTCCCCCTCCCTGTCTCTTGTTAAGTTCTTTGATGGCATGAAGAACAGCCTTTAATGCCCTAATCAGTTGGGAGGAAGCAATAGTGCTGGGTACCTTCTTTGGTGTTGGACATTGTTTTGAGAAAGTGAGGCATTGGAAGGGGGTGGCTAACAAATAATCTGCATGTAGAAGAAGAGAAGAAGAGTTTGGATTTGATATTCCGCTTTATCACTACCCGAAGGAGTCTCAAAGCGGCTAACATTCTCCTTTCCCTTCCTCCCCCACAACAAACACTCTGTGAGGTGAGTGGGGCTGAGAGACTTCAAAGAAGTGTGACTGGCCCAAGGTCACCCAGCAGCTGCATGTGGAGGAGCGGAGACGCGAACCCAGTTCCCCAGATTACGGGTCTATCGCTCTTAACCACTACACCACACTGGCTCTCTGTAGCCAGTAGTGAATGATCTGCACGTAGCCAGTCGAGCAAGCCACACAGGCTTGTGTGGTTTGGGGATCGGATGGTTCGGGGCAGAGTTTCTGAGAAGCTTGTGCATGGACTGATCGGCTGTGGGGCTGTGCAAACTGAGGCTACCAGGGGGAGTCACTTTGCTGCTCCTTAAGGGCTTCCAAGTGGCAGATTGAAGTGCTTGCTTGATATGCATATATAGCTTGCTGTTTGAAATCAAATCTTTAATCTTCTCACTCACTTGTGCTTTGTATTACTTCCAAATCCCCTTTTAAAAGAACCACCTTGCATTTGGCAAGACTTCGGACCAAGACAGTGGCCAACTAGATGCTTATGCCCACAAGCATAACCTGAGCACAGCAGCACTCTCCCTACCTGCAATTCCTAGCATTCATAGTCATAGTGCATTGAGCCATTATCATTAAGGATAAAATCAATAGCACTTTTAAAGCAGATATATGTCTGGGTAGGTTAGTTCTTGCGTCCCTGACAACAGCAGGACTGCTCTTGCATTTGCATGGTCAGAAGCAGTCCAAAAGGTTGGGTTAACCCACAGACCCATAATATGAGTAACACAACTCATATTATGGGTTGCAAAGGCTATTTGGTAGCCTATGCATCTTACTAGATCATATATATTTTTATTTCAAGGCATTTTCTCCAGTGGGGGCTTCTAAGTGGTTTCTTTCCCACTGCATCCTTTGTCCAGTTAAATATGTCCCTGCGCATTGCATAGGAAGGAAGCCTGCTGACGCCGTGGTGAATGCCATGAATCTGAAAAAAAAGCACTCCTGACATATCCGACATAAATTAGTCATATAAAAGGCATCATTGCTAAACTGTCTGAACATAAAACAAAGTTCACTTAATATTGCTGAATGAGCTGCCCTGATAAGAGTCCTCTAGCTGTCCTTATTCCATCAGTAACTGGAAGCAAGAAAAGAATTATGATGGGGACAGAAGCACAGAGCATTATGTTTCTCAGCCGAGCAGAACCTAGTGGTCCAAATGTAGGGTCCAATCCTTCATTCTGTGAAGTTCTTTGAAGTTTTGGGGGCCCTTTCTGCTGTAATAGAAGTTGTTGAATGGATTCAGCTTGTTGTTTGGGCTGCACCATGTTTGTGTGAGAGAATGAGCCAGAGAGAGAGAGAGAGAACAGTGAAAGGTGGAACAGGGATGGGGGAGTTATTCTATATATTTCTAACTATATTTCTCCTAATGCAATGTTTAAAGGTGGACTTGTAGGTTCCTTCTTTTGAAAAATGTCTGAGGGATTTTGAAAACTGGTGTCATGATTGCTTATCTCAGTGAAGACCTTACTTGGAAAATCAATACAACCCAGATGGTTAAGAAATCCCAACAGAGACTCCATCTCCTCAGAGTATTGCGAAAGAATGATGTCAATCAACATTGGATGATCTCCTTCTACCGGTCAACAGTAGAAAGTGTCCTTTCATACTGCATCACGGTGTGGTATGCTGGTTTGACATCAACTGATAGGAAGTGCCTACAGAGGGTGGTGAATACCGCACAAGATATTATGGGCTGTCCCGTGAATCCGCTGGATGACATCGCGGAAGAACGTTGCCTCAGGAGAGTGAGGAAAATTCTCAGGGATGATTCACACACTGGCCGGCACTTTCTTGATCTCCTGCCCTCAGGCAGAAGATATAGAAGCATGATTAGTTGCACCAGCAGGGTAAAGAACAGCTTCTATCCGTGGGCTGTTAGGCTGCTGAATGAAAAGATAACAACAGGGCAACTGACTTTTGGGTTTGGTGGGTGAGCGTCAGTAAACGAGGGGAATTAAGGCTAAGAGAGCTGGGTGGGGGGGTGCTCGTGTAATCTCACTATATACAAGTTGTACAAGTGACAATAAAGTATTTCAATTTCAATTTTTGAACAAATTATGCACAGTACCTACAAGTATGTGATTCAGTACCTACAAGTATGTAGGTGCTTGTAGGATTCAGTACCTATAAACAGGACTTTGTTTCAGCAAGAGCTCACCAGAGCTCAGCTCCAACCCCTCTCAGATGGGACCATTGCCTTTCTAAGTGATCAAGGGAGAAATTCATCATGAGCTCTAGCACCTCTTTTTCTAGAAAAATAGCATTGCCTACAAGTATATGATACAATGAACTTCTCCATCAGGGATGAAGATCTTGTGGCTCTCCAGATGTTCTTAGACTGCAACTCCCATCATCCCTGACTACCAGTCTTGCAGGCAGCTGTGTATAGGAGTTTCAGTCCAAAAATATTCAAGGAGAAGGTACGCCAAACATCAACAGAAGCCAGCTCCAGCCTTCTAATCAGAACTGGAAGTATGCAAAAGATCCTCTTCAACTAAAGTTCAATGAAAAAAATTCTAATATTTTATCTTCCCAAAAACTCCTTGAGAGTTTAAGCCAGGCAGAAGCATCATTAATGTTATTTAAACATTCCACATGGTTTGAAATTCAGTTCAATGCTAGAAGTGTATGGGGCACCCTCAGAGAAATGTTCCCTGGTATTCTCAAAATCATTGGTATTCCCTGAGAATTCTCCAGAGGCTGTGGCCACAGAGAAACAGTTCCAATATTTGTTTGGATTTTGATGTATGCAAAGCACATATATATCTACCTACATAAAGCATGTCTCTATTTCTGAATAAACACTCAACACCACAGTAAAATAGTTAAAAACATTATTGCAGCCTTTGCCAACCTGGTGACATTCAAATGCTTTGGACTACAACTCCCATGATCCCTAGCCAGGAGTTGTTGTCTGAGACATATGGAGACCACCAGTTTGGAGAAGACTGCATTATAGCAATTAGCAGGGGCATCAGCCAAGAAAAATAATGCAGTAGACAATGCAACACAGCTTGTAAACAATTTTAATATTTCATGGCATATCAAAGAAGCCCATGCTGAGAAAAACAAAATCAATTGCAAAACTGAAAATGAGAAAAACAAAATCCCAATAAACACAAATTAACAAAAATCGAGATGGGCAAGGCCATACTGTTGACCTTAGTTGACCCCCATTAGAGGTTAATTACTACATGATCAATATGTCTTATGAATAACTATGGACACAAGTAATCAATAGAAAGTGATAAAAGAAAAAGTAATCAATAAGCATTAGAGACCAGAAGGAAAAGGAAGAGAACAAAATATCACTCTCTAAGAGTCACTGGGATTTTGGGCTTTGGTGAGGCCTGCATACAATGATGGAAAAACCTTCCCTTGTATCGGATAATGAGCTGAACTACTGAGATACACACACACACACACACACACAGTGTGCCTCCAAACAAACAGTAATGGGGGTCCAAAGTTTTCTCAACTTTCCCAGGAGCCTTCAAATACCCACTCAGTCATGAGCCTGGGTTGCGGGTAGGTGAGGGAAGTATTATGATTCATGAAGTGCCATGTTATTTCAGATAGCTCGGTAGATAGAGCATGAGTCTCTAAATCTCAGGATTGTGAGTTTGAGCCCCACACTGGGCAAAAGATTCCTGCCTTGCCTGGAGACAGGCAGTCTGGCCGTGCAACCACAGCAGTGACCAGAGGGGTAATGACCTCTGGGAGGAGCACAGAGAGAAGAAATGTCATGGTGCACCTGCAGTAGCACAACCGGATGACTTCTTTTGTGCAACAAAACGTGTCTCTCCTGTATTGGTCTCTACAGCCACAGCAGGCACGGTAACTATCCAACAGTTTGACTTCACTCCCAAAGGCACACTCCTCTGTTCTACAGATGCCATCTGCCACCAACAGTGAAGGCAGAACATAGGATTTCTAGCCATTGAAAGTTTCATCCTTCATTAATTTGTCTGATCTTCTTTTAAAGCCATCCAAGTTGAGGGAAGTCACAAGGGGACAGTTTCTCAGAGCAAAAGAAATTGCTGGATTCTATCGTAAGCTGGACACAGGTGGCGCTGTGGGTTAAACCACAGAGCCTAGGACTCGCCGATCAGAAGGTCGGCGGTTTGAATCCCCGCAACGGGGTGAGCTCCCGTTGCTTGGTCCCTGCTCCTGCCAACCTAGCAGTTTGAAACACGTCAAAATGCAAGTAGATAAATAGGTACCACTCCGGCAGGAAGGTAAAGGGTGTTTCCGTGCGCTGCTCTGGTTCACCAGAAGTGGCTTAGTCATGCTGGCCACATGACCCGGAAGCTGTACGCCGGCTCCCTAGGCCAATAAAGCGAGATGAGCCCTGCAACCCCAGAGTCGGCCACGACTGGACCTAATGATCAGGGGTCCCTTTACCTTTACCTTTATCCTTAGCTGGAAAAGGATTTTACTTTCCTCGTCACATTCAGCTTTATAACACCCCTGTGGTTGTCACAGGTGGGTAGCTGAGGCTTAGGAATATAACTTGCACAAGGCCAGCAATCGAGTCTATGGGTGAGCAGGCTTTTAATGTTACTTTCCTATCCCTAATGGTCAATCTCCCTTTCCACTGAAAACACCCAGCTCTTAAATGTAACGATTTCTCTTGCTTCACATCTCACCTGCTCACAGCCTTTTGTGATTAATTTGTTATTGCAATCCGTCAGTTTGCATCTGGACACGAGGAGCAGAATGACACCCATATCTGAATAAGTTTTCCCCAGGGTTTTCATATCACTCTGTCCCACCATTACCTACGTTATCTAAATTGCCTGAACATGTTTGTGCACAACTAATGGATAATATTGTAAGAAATAATGCTTTGGCGAGACATAAATCTGTGTTGCAGGCCTTCCTGTTCCATAAAGAAAGTGATAATGGCCTTTACGCATCATTTGTTTATATCACTGCAAAAGGCGCAATTGGCAAGGCATGTTGCGAAACTGACAATACCTTTGGTTTGAGCTAGCCAGCTGTAGCCTTTAGTTAACACCTGTAGCACCTCTGTCTCTATGGTCCCTTTGGTAATTTTGGATCAGCTTAAGGTTGCTCCAATAACCCATAATATAAATATCAATGCAATGCACCTCAAAGTACAAGCAGCCCCATTCATTTCAACAAGAGGCAAATGCAGGTACACACTTTTTATGTTAGGCAAGCTTGAAGGAATTTGTGATTTCTGATATCAACTAAATTGATCCGCATACCGTGCATTAATGTGCAGATAGGTAGGTAGCAGTTTATGAGACTTCACACCTCTTTCTTGTCATCCTATAATGAGGAGTGTTCCAGATTTTACTGGAAAACACAAAAGGGAGACTGCTTTTCTGGCAACTGCAGGAAGGGAGAATACTCTTGTGCTGGGGTCCTGTTTTCATGTTTGACCACTGTGAGAACAGGATTCTGGTCTACATGGGCTATTGGCCTGATCCAGCAGGCTGTTCTTATGTTCTTATGATACTTATATTTCCCACATTTTAAGTACATTGTGTATATCTGACTTTATTCATCAAAATGAATTTATAACCTGCCTTCTTGGGTACATTATCAGCTGACGATGACCACATTCAAGCACTGTGATGGTGTGAATATGGCCCAAGTTGTTTCTTTCACATTGTGGTCACTGGTCACCTGCATCCACACAGTGTCAATTTCCACCAGGATCTTTCTAAATTGTAATCATTGCACGTTAGTAATTTCTAACTAGGATCTCTGCTGAGGTTATGGGGACGCAGGTGGTGCTGTGGTCTAAACCACTGAGCCTCTTGGGCTTGCCGATCAGAAGGTCAGCGGTTCGAATCCCCACAACGGGGTGAGCTCCCATTGCTCAATCCCTGCTCCTGCCAACCTAGCAGTTTAAAAGCAGGCCAGTGCAAGTAGATAAATAGGTACCGCTGCGGTGGGAAGGTAAACAGCATTTCCATGCGCTCTGGTTTCCATCATGGTGTCCTGTTGCATCAGAAGTGGTTTAGTCCTGTTGGCCACATGACCCGGAAAGCTGTCTGTGGATGAACGCTGGCTCCCTTAGCCTGAAAGCAAGATGAGCACCACAACCCCATAGTCACCTCTGACTGGACATAACCATCCAGTGGTCCTTTACCTATTGGACCATCCTGACCATAGCTGTCAACTTTTCTCTTTTCTTGCAAGGAATCCTATTCGGAATAAGGGAATTTCCCTTTAAAAAAGGAAAACATTGACAGCTATGATCCTGACCCTCCTCAGGGCATTCTAGACAGCTGTGGGGCTCAATGACCACTCTCCAACGTGGAAAAGAAGCACAACATTTGCTGACCTCAAGCAGGTCTGAAGGACCAGTCAGGAGGAGATCTGGAAACCTTTAAAACTCATCCTCTCCCTGCCTTCCCATCAAGTCTCTGTAAAGCTTGCAAGATAAAGGTCACTTAATCAATCTCCTGGGCTCCAGCTGGCCCCTCTCAGCTAGAGGCAGAAGTCTTAAGATTGTACTGTCTCCAGCTGGTATAACACAGGTCAGTCAGAGCCCAATGAGATCAATTATTCGACTTCTGGTGTGTGTGAAAGAGTGGACTGTTTCTCAGCTTCTCCCTACCCTACAAGGACATTGTATTGCTGCCTGGGGTAGGTGAATCTTGCTTCCAGGGTTTTCCATGTGAAATAATTCTTTCTATTGGGATAAAAATTAATGGGCAGCTCTTTTGATTCTATGATGATCCCTTGATGTTTCAATGGAATTATGATTCTGGTAGGCTTTTGCAAGACCCATATTTTCCCCCAAGCACTGCTGTTGCAGCAAAATGTATCGAGGATTCATGCATATGCTGGACTCTTTGCAGAACTTTCCTGCATCATTTAATTCATGATGTTGTCTTTGCACCTTTAAATGTCACAGTGCAGAATATCAACCCAGTTCTACCTGGGATGCCTGACCTGTTCATATCACCTGGCATCTCACCCTCTTTGAATTAAAACCCAGGGTGGTAATTCCACACACCCCCTTGTTAAGGCCTCTTGTTCATGAGGGGTAGGAAGAAAGGTGAAAAGGGGGAGTCTGGAAAATCCCATCATAGAAAATAAGAGCTGAAATGTCCTTGGCACACTCATATTTCACCAAATAGATCAGGCGACAAAATCCCACGATAATTCACCTGCCATGACAAAACCCATAATGAGAACAGAAAATTGGGCCAATTCATTTATTCACCTGACATAGATTGCGACTCATGAGATGGTGGAGTGGCAAAAAGAGAGAAGTTACAGCATGGAGTTAACCTACCCATGTAATAATCTCCCTCACATAACATTCAGAGGTCTGTGTGTGCCTTACCAGAATACAATAAAATAAAATTCTGTACCTAGGCAATCCAGATTCTGCAACATGAAAAGTGGGATTGAGAAACCTGAATAAATGATTTAATTAGAGCAAATTTGCATATATTATGCAAGTTTTGCGTAACTTGCTATTTTTTACTGCTTGTTTTTCATAATTGATTCTGTTTTCCCCCCCTAATCATGGGGATGGCCAATGTATTGTGCTTGATACTAACAGCTACATACATACCAAACTTTTAAAGCACACACACATTGGATACAACACCTTATTATTAGTGCATTAGACTTGTTGGTCGTATCATATGGAATGTCTCAAGGTGATTTGCAATGCAAAAATAATGCACACTAAATAAAGAAACCAGATACAAAATTCAACAATTGAAACGCAGTGAACATGTAAGCTGCAATGATCATACTAGCAACTTGTCAATGGGGAAAATGCACACAAACCTGATCTCCAATTTCATTCTTGGCTCTGGCCAAGTGTACATACAAGGTACAAGTAAAGGTGTTTCAGGTTTGCATCATTTTCTCATGAGGGGAGCACGAAAGCCCTGAACATACAAATAAAGTCTATCTGGACAAAGTCCAGGTTGGAATCTTCTGGTTGACATCTACAGTGGTACCTCGGGTTACATGCGCTTCAGGTTACAGACTCCGTTAACCCAGAAATAGTACCTCGGGTTAAGAACTTTGCTTCAGGATGAGAACAGAAATCGTGCTCCGGTGGTGCAGCGGCAGCGGGAGGCCCCATTAGCTAAAGTGGTGCTTCATGTTAAGAACAGTTTCAGATTAAGAACGGACCTCCGGAACGAATTAAGTACTTAACCCAAGGTACCACTGTATTTATATCCCAACTCTTTTCACCAAGGAGCTCAAGGGTGGTACATGGTCCCCCCCCCCATTTAATCCCCACAACAACCCTGTGAGGCAGACTAGGCTGAGTTGCAGTGACTGGCTCCCAAGGTCACCTGGGGAGCTTGATGGTCAAGTGGTGATTCGAACCCTGGTCACCCAGTTCTAACACACTTGGCACCACACTGGCTTTTTTTCTAAAGAAAGGTGATGACTTGGGATTCAGTCCAAATTGCAACTGGTGGTTGGCACTGCCTTGCTAACAGCCCCAGAAATCTGTATGGCAGTGTACATGTGGCTTCGGAATGATGGGTAGTGATTAAATATGGCGGTGCCCTGGTTTCAACTCTTTCACCCATTGAACAATTAATTGGCAGTCTAAGGTCACAGGGTCTCCCCCAGACACAAAATCTTCCCCCACCTTTTCTCCCTTTCATACCTCCCACTTC